TTTTTAATTTTTATTAATTTTCATTTTGAACTACAAAGTGTGAGAAGTGTATTAATATGCAGCACCAAAAAAAATGTCAACCCATATTCAAGGTATTAAGAAATCTAACCAAAATATCAATTTAATTTTTATTGATATAAATGTAATTATGTTTATTTTAATATAATGAAATGACCGGGTCAGGTTTGAATTGGATAACCAATAAAGGCGAGGCGATCCGAAAAGATTAAAAAAAATCCAAACCCGCCTCAGGTTCAGGGCAGCTCAGGTTTGTTTTTTATAAGAATTGGTTGAGTTTGGGTTTGGGAAATCTTGCCTTGAATCCATCTTGTAATCATCCCTAAGAGAGACAGAGTATAAAGGAGGGTGATTGAAGCAAAATTTGGCCTGGAAATGTCTATGCAGCAAGCAAAGAGCCCCCAAGTTCTGGATCGTGTATGTATGTATAAGAGAATTAGCATGGGTAAGGAGAGTCTTCCATAAGTGCATTACATGGAGTGGGTAAAGAAGTCTTCCACAAGTGCATTATATGGAAAGTGGGATCTGGGGAGAGGTCTGGAGAGATGACTGAATGAAGTGTAGACCTCTTTACTTGCAGTTTCTTTCCATTTTTGCTATTATTCGAAACAAGAACATTTCTATCAAAGAAAAGAAATAAGAGCGTTTTTGAGAGTTGTGGATCTTCTTTTGACAGATTTAAAGATTATTTATTTTAGGCTCTAGGCTTTTTGATTAAGGACCAACCATTGTATTTCAATGATGATCTTGAGGATCTAGTAGATATTTTACAAGACAAAAATATTTTTTATTCAGATTGCATCCTATTGGTAATTTCTTAACTGGTTCAATTTTTTCTTCTCAAAAAATATAAGACTACGAGTTTATATATACGATGATGTACTACAATATATATGTCATTATGGAGGTTGCTTTATAGTGAAGCAAATTTATATTTTAAAAAGATGTCTTCGGAAAAAACATGCATATATACCATATATTTATATGAGACTATGCAACTGTGGTTGACAAGTTATGCAGAGCAAGGCTGGAGGTGGCAATAAAACAAGGAGAATTGTAACTGACCTAAGAATGCTCCCATCAAAGCTCAAAACTTCAGTACGGCAGCGCTGTCTATTAGCAAGCTTCAAACGCTGATGATCACTAAGTGCTCCTGAAATGGGAGAAGAAGGGTCCACAAGCGGATTCCATCTTCCACTAGCATACTTCACTAGCTGCCGAGATGAGTCCTTTGATTGCTCTTTCTGGTAAAGAAGTTTGGCAGTGGGACCTGTTGCTTGGTACTGTAAACAAATATCCCGCAACCTTTTCCGTAAGCATTGCATTGCGTCATGATGTTCACTAAGGAAATCTGCTTGAAGTAACTGTGATGAAACCATCCTTTTACATATGTCGTTACACAATTTTGGACTAAAGAGCGGTATCCCAAATTCTACACTTAGCGGGACCCATTCGTACTTGTCATCATCAGATGAAAAATAGCCTGATTCTCTTTCTTTGAAAAGTTTTAAGAAACGAATATAGCCAATTGTCCACAGCTCCATCTTGTTTGCCAACTCAGTTAACAAAGAATTCATTTTCACCTTCTCCCCTTTAGGTAGTCCTAATTCATCCCCCAACTGTAAAATTGAACCGTTCGAGTTCTTTAGGGGCAATGGTATATCCACAGTAACAATTCTACCAGAATCATCGAGGTCATATTTGCTAAGGGGCTGTACCAGGACAGCTGAGTATTTAAGAAGTGAATTTAAACAATGTAATAGTATACTTCCCTTTACTAAATTGCCTTCAAACTTGCCTCCTAATCCTCCAATTGCAGAACCATCCCAAGACCATATTAGGGCTTTCTCACAGCCAGCAAGTGGTGCAGGAAGCAGTCTTAGACACTGTCCTTTCATTAGAACAACTGATAAAGGCCCAGCACGAACAGTTGAGTACATTACCAACTTCATCCACTGTGTCATTGATGAATGAGATGGAGGACCAAAATGAATGGGGCCCGTTGGTCCAGGAAGAACAGATGAATGGGGAAGAGGTATCATAGACACAACAATATCATAGTCACGATGAAACAAACGATCTAAGGTTGTTGGGGCAAGAGAAGCCAAGCTTTCACATCTGAGAAGATCCACACGATATTTCTTTTTCTTCCTTAAGTTCACTCTCCCAATATCAGATCCTTCAACTGGTATTGATTTCTCATTGCTCTGCAAGCTTGAGTCAGATTTAGAGGCCTCATTTAACAAATTACTATTTTCAGACTGGCTGTTTCTAAATGTCTCATCATTGGTACCCCCATAAGCAGGTTCAATCGGAGCAGAACCATTCTGAGGGATCTCCAAACTCATTGACTCATCCTCATTCTGAATAGCTTCATCACCAATAGACTTTCCATGTTCTTCTGTTTGAGCAACATCTGTTATCAGAGAAATGGTCTCATTGTTGCTTGAAGACACTGTATTCATCTTATCTTCAACACTTCCATCATTGATAGCAACTCCACCTGACAACAAACATTCAAGAATACAACGGAGGCTAAATGCATGGTTTGCAAATTCCTGTAGTTCTCCCTCAAATTTTGCTCCTTCCAAAGTGCTCAAATCCTTGCAAAGATCTGCAATGCTGGCATGACCAAGTTTTCCCGCTTCATACAGCGTTACAGCATGAGATTTCAAGCCTGCAAAAAATATTAAGTGAAATATATAAACAGCTAGAAAAACCAGTTTGAAAATGGCACATGAAATGCTAGCTGAAATTATTGACTTATAAACCTGGATTACATCTGACTGCCAAATAAAATAACTACAATAAGCTTATTTCAAAAAATAATAATAATAACCACAATAAGCAAGTCGGTTCCTCTTTGGGCTTAAGTTGCTTGTCAGTAAATTTTTTCAGGAAATAACTGGCTTAATTTTGTCTACTACCTGTAACAATTCTCGATTAAGGAGATATGAGGAAACATATTCTAGGAGAAAAATAATAGAAGTGAGATCCAAGCCTTACCCTAAAAATAAAGATCAACAAATACAGTTATATTTACTTTTTCCTGTCCTACCAGCAAAACATGGTGTACTGAGGGAATGAATGAGCCGTGTGAATCAAATAATGTAGTTCAGTTTAAACTAATAATATGATAATTAATTAACTAGTCTAGACTTTCATACACTAGTCGTTCAACCAGTCTAGAGTTTCTCAAACTAGGCCCACATTGAATATGAGGGGTAAGACATTCTAAGTTCAATAAATAAGACTTCAGCCATCTAGTCAAGAACTCTCTAATAGTTCATTCAAACAATATCATGTCTCTGGATTCTGTATGCTCAGGAGGATGCAAGCTATTGAGAGGAAACAGGAAACTTCATCAAAGAAAAGTTCATACCGAACACAAGTTCCAGGCCCACACTAATTTATTTTCTCTCAAGAAAAATATCAATAATGCTCATGCGCACTATCACTAACTGTTTTCAGTCAACAAAAACAAAAAGGACTAAGGGACAATATACACAAACATGGACCTTTATTGTTCTCCAGAAGCTACTGCGACCAAGAAAAATGGAATAAGAAATTCAATTGAGGAACAACATCACAGAAAGAAACATCAGAGTTACCTTGCTCTTCTAGTTACTTCACTTGTAACACCCCAAAACTATTTTTATTTTGTATGAAAATTTTTTTTATAGTTAATTTATTTTGTAATAATTATGTGTTTAATTTAATTTAATTTAATTTAATTTAATAGAAATAAAAATAATAATAATTATAAAATTGGATAAAATTATTTTTAGAAATTAATTAAAAATAATTTTAGAAAAAATGAGTGAAAATTTGGATTTTGTGAGTGTTTTTGAAAAGAAAATCGAAAACCAAGAGTCAAAACGCAATTTAGAGAAGTTGCACCATGTCAGCAGCCCCAGCCAATCAGGACACGCCACGTGGCAGGAACGCTGATGCGGAAAGCCACGCGGACGGGGCCACATGGACGATCCGCGTGCGCGCGATCGGACGGCTCAGATCCGTTCCCGCACGCACGGACGGCACAGATCTCACGCGTGCGGACGGCCCAGATCGAATCACGCACGAACGGCTCAGA